CACCATAAGGAAGAATTGACCTGATGTTATAGGTCAGACAGATGTGGACGTCCAGTCTGAACTGTGTCTGCTTTGGCAAGAAACAGTGATACTTTTGCATGAAGATGGCACTTTGGCGGTACGGCAGAAAGTAGAAGGTAAATGTAGTGGACACAATGCAGAATGATTTCTGTAGAAATAATGTATGGGTACATCTGCTCATCTTGAATAAAAGCTCACCTCACCTCAAACACAAGTCTACTTCCATGCTAGTGTCTCAGTGGGCTCTGGTATAAGCATATGCTCAGGTATAGCATTTATCATGCTGCCATCGCCATTCCCAGATCCATTTTTTGCCTGTTTCACCAAAAAAAAAAAAAAAAGCAGTTAAACTGATTCTGAATTGGGTTTTCACTTTACTACTGTTTACTTGTTTTCTCCAAACATTCAAAGCAGCTGCACTGCACTAGATGCTCGCAGACAGCTCATCAAATATCTGCCATGTTATCACATAAAATCACCATGTGTCAAAATGACAGACTTCCAATATGCAAATATCAACAAAACATTTCCTTTAAAAATCATGATCATTTGGCAGGATGAAAAAATGCATATCTATCAAAGACCAGTCATGGCGGCCTTATTACATTTCCCAGTGAGATTGTAAATGTTATCTTTCATTTTGCAAAAAAATATGCCTGAGTCTTCTGGTATCATGAGATCTGAGTTTCAAATGAGGCATCGGCTCAGTGTGGGATGTGTGGAAACAGACAAATGTTGTAATGTCCTGAGGGAAGGCCAGTTCCATCGATTAGCACCAGTCTCAGCCTAAAAATGTGATTTACATGTCTGTGTGATTCATGAAAGCAAGTACGAGACAGACTCTCGTAAAAAAACTTTTCAGAATGCAACTTATTGACACAGTAGTGCTGAAATTGCCATCTCTGTATGTGACCAAACATACAGTAAAGCTTATTAGCTTGTCTCTCCATTTGATGGTGGTTTTTTTTGTTCATGGTCCCTGACAAAATGTAATATATCTTCAGAAATTGCCTTGTAAAATCTCACAGTGGACGCTCATTTGTGATAACTCGTAATATACCATATTGTTATTTGAAGTGATCTATATGTCATCTATCTTAAAAGGCTGACAGGTTTTGCAATATACTGTATGTTTTCCAAACACTGATTAAATTCAATCATGCTTTTTATGTCTGCCCTCAATTGCTTATCTTAACCTTTCAGCCCTTTGCACTGATTAATAATGACCACCGCTCGTGGCTCTTTGAATTATAAAACACACAAATACAAACACTCTTGAGAACCTAACTTCAGGAGCGGAGAGCTTTATGTCAGGGCTAAAAGCTGTGTGTCTGTGTGTTCCTGCCTGTGTGTGTGCCTGCGGTCCACGCCACACAAAAATGATAAACAACATTGCAGAAGGTCATGTTAGTAGGAAGTGTGGGAGCACGACAGGAATGGAAAGAGGTAGACAGATTGACTGTGCCATGGAAAAGCCATCAACTGCCCCCCCCACCCCATCCACCCCATCCACCCCATCCACCCCACCCCTCACCCAAACTCCCCTCCCATTTTCAGCCCGGTGCACTCTTTAGCAGAATTATTGATGGCGCTTGTGAGGTACAGAGGACTGGGATGAAGATGTCTCAATCCCTGGGCTGCAAAACAAGAGCTAAGGCAAAGGGTGGGGCAGCAGAAGGAACAACACATGCAGTATTTATTGCTGTGTTCAATATGAGGGGAGAGAGGAAGAAAAATGAAAGTGATCCCTGAAGTGGAGAAACACACAACTCATCCTACACTGCTGCTACTGTATATTAGCAGTGGTAGAAGAGGCAGTCTGCTCCTTTACTAAAGTAGATGTGGCATTAACACATGAAAATATTGAATTACAAGAAGAGTGATCCCCTTAGCGTGCAAGGGTGTGACGTGATCCGTATAGGAATATTGATTCCAGCAGTTTAAGTACAGAAACAAACTTGCACAAAAATTGTTGGAAATATCATCAGTGGATATAAAGTGTGGCGATACTTTATGGTTTTCAGTGAGGATCTGAAGAGAAGTTTCACCTTTTACTTCAAAGTGTTACACTTTTACTGAAAAGAGTGGGAGGAATGTCAGAGGTGCATGCAATAAAAGGTCTGGGTTAGTTTTCACCACAGGATATTCACCTGTGCATGGTACACACTCTACTGACTCACCAGGAAACTGGAAGGAGCTTTCTGTATATTTATTGATTATAAAGGAAATTATAGTACTTTGTTATAAAGGTCAGGGTGCATCATGTGTACTGAAAGCACTGCTTGTAGGTATTTTTGCACTGCATGTTGATGGGTCGCTTCGGGTGTGGAAAAGAAGTTTTATGTGGTTGGAAGAGAGTGGGTGTTTTTTTTTGGTTTTTTTTCTTGTGAAGGTATCCTGTGTCTTCAGTTTCATCATGCTTACAGTACATTACTCGCCTCTTCTGTGCCAACAGATCCATGTCTTCTCTCTATTCCCAGGGTTTACAGTACATCATTACTACCTTATGCACCATGTGTGGATAAAAAAAAAGCAGCACGGTGAGGAAGAAAAGAGTCGTGATTTCAGTAAAATCAACCAAAGAGGTGTTTTGATTATGATTCCCTTTCTCTCAGCTTTTGTTATTGCACCTTTATGTATCTCATCCAAAGAAGACCTGGGTTAATGTAGTGTTTTTTTTTTTTTTTTGAAGCCGCCCTTGACACCTGGTCTTGATTAGAACAAGAGATTACAAATGTTGTGTAGTGTCCTCTTTGCTTCTGTCTCGTTTCCTCACTGAGATTAACATTCCACACCTCGAGACCCTTTTCAATCACCACCACAGAGAGATGACTCTTATACTGGCAGTTAATGAAACTCACTGCTTCCAAGATTCATCAATAAACTCGTAAACACCAGCCTCCTTGATGTTTATTCATAGAATGGGCAGGAGGAAAACATGATTCAAGGCAGACGGACAACACTATGGCCTGCTGTCCCTTTTGATAAGAACATTCCCGTGATCCATGTTTATAGAGTGAATGAGATCATCATTAGAAGGTGACTTTTCATGGTATGGTGTTCATAAAAAAAAAAATTAAAAAAAGATGGTTGATTGAGAAGAGGCAGCTAATCTAAAGCCTCTCTCCATTAGGAGGATTACTGGAAACATATGACAGTTATTGATAAACATTATGTATTTCCAATTAATGATGTTTAAGTTTCACCAACAAAGATGCATTTATTTATGTGTTACTGTGCCATTCGTTCTCTGCCTATTGTGATTTGTTCTCTTTCTCACTGCCTTTTAGCTCTTGTGCGACCCCTGAATGCAGCGCAGCAAGCCTCCCAGATGTCATTCAGTTTATTTTGTTTTTGTGGCCCTCTAGAGGTGCATTTACAACATCACAAAAATAAACCAGTGTACGTGATGTCAATAAATTTCTAAGTTGCTTCATACAGCTGAATAGGAAGAATAAAAATAAACTGAAAGTACAGCGTGTATACAGGTTGTTGTGTGATATTGTGCAGTATGTTACACTTAAAGAATCTGAGAAACAAAAGTGAAAAGTATAAAGAAATCTTTACTCATTCAGTCACAATCTTCCAAAAGAACTCAAACCTGCACCCTTTCAATCTGTCACCCAGCACCCAGTGTTTCATCTCTGCCAGTCACTTCATTGTTGGATCTTGCGTTATTTCTCTGACACAAACAGCTGGGTCACCCTGTTGATGAGCGCTGACATTTCAGATACGGAGACTTCCTTTCATGCCATGAAAAAGCCACAGTTTGTGAAACTGCAGCTGTGACACATGTTCTGATAAGGAGTGGGTGAAGTCTGGTGAATTCCGTCGTAACTAAAGATAAATGACAGGAGAATGGAGAATGGACTGTGACTGCACATTTAAGAAAGCATCTCTGTATTTATGAGTAATAGATAGATGATATTTACTGTATCATATGTTAAATGGTGTATGCTGTGTTTTGTTGGGTGTATTGTAAGTGTTTGGGCTCCATTCCTCTCTGTTACTCAGTTATCTCTGTCTGTTTTTTACATACATGTTGAAGTTTAATAAATTACGATTTTTTTTCCCCCTTTAGTTGTTTTTCAGTCAGTCCACTTCACTTTGACTACAACAAACTTTAACCTCCACTGGAGTCTGACTCAGTTCAGCTGTTGTGATGCATCCACCCGTAGTCACATCATGTACTTACACTTAGTCATACTCCAGCTAAATATAGAGTAAGGGTGTGTGTGGGTCAAGAGTTTTTTTTTCCCTTTTTTGTGAATGCAAAACTGCAATATTAATGATGACAGAACTACAGTTTATTCCTGGTGGCTCTCAAGGTTAGTCATCTTACAGAAAAGTTAAAACAAACAGCGTCAAAGCATCGGACAAAATGTAAAAAATGCAGCAGAAACATATGAAAGACAACCACAAGATATAAAGGTCCACTTAACCACAGAGAAAACATGCACAGATGATCTCTACATCTCTACAGCAGCTTTCAGACACAGACACATTTGTAGAAGTGCCTTACATTAATGTGAGAAAGATAGAGTAGAAAAAAAAAGTACACAGTAAAAAATAGCTCAAGATGTACAGTAACAGAGGAAAGGAGGAGCGTTTCATATATATCTGAAAGTGGTTCAACTTCTGGAACATTTACCGTCAGATCATCAGGAAGTTGGTTTTGTCTGTGTCTGTTTTTTTCTTCAACTTAGCCACCTCTATTTAAAACTCCAACTCAAACAGCAGTGAAATGTCCACAACTTGTCCAAATATTTCCATCAAAACTGTCAGGCTATTTCTTCCTATTTAACAGTTATTTATTTTAATTTATATACAGACATCAGCCAAAGAGCAGCAGCTGTAACTAATAATACCATAGGGAAGAGGAAGCTGGTTGACCAGTAGCCGTTGTCACACACTTTGCAGCACAACTTCCTGCTTGTGCATCTGTGTGTGAGATTGTGGTTCTGATGGTAAGGCAGAGAGAGAGAGAGAGAGAGAGAGAGAGATAGTTGGTGGATTGGGTAGCAAACGGCTTTGACAGTCACTAACAGCGTTGCAGTTGACAGCAGCAGAGAGCAGAGTAATGGAGCCACAAGAGATCAGAGAGGGATACTTGGTGAAAAAGGTAAGAACTACTCGAAAATACAATTCATCTCCCTGGGTCCCATTTGTAGAGCTTGAACTTGTTCTTGTCAAGTGTAACATTTACAATATTATAGCAGAAATAATATTAAAACTGAGAGCTCCATTGGCACTACAATGAAAGGTATAGATGTTGTGAATTGCCAGAGATACTTAGAGGTTTGGCTTTATAGCAACGCACTCAATAAGTCGTGAAGAAAACACTGACTTCAAAGTGATGCAGTTGCAATAACAAATGTGAGTGACAGAATAAACGGCAGAAGGTGTCATAAAATGTTTAAGTTTTCAAACCATGATGAGACAACTATCACAGTGGTGATGAACAATCACTCACTGTCAGTGCAGGTTTAAGGTTAGTTGATGCATCAGTAACTAAAACTGGGAAAGAAACTACAAACATAAATATCCAAAAACCGTCACGACAACACGGTTTCCTGGACAAACAGGAGAATAAGGTTACTCCACATCTAGAGGAACAGTTGTGAATGTCACATTAAAGTTGCTACATAATACAGAAATACACACTTCTGTTCTACAGCTGCAACATAAACTCCAGTTCCTGCTTCTGCTCAGAGCCTAGAGTAAAACATGAAACGTGTTTTGGATGCACACATTTTTCTAGATCAAGCCCTGTGTGACCTTTTGCTTTTGTTTCATAAAGTGAATTTTAATTCATTACTTCTGTATGCTTATTTATTCTTTTTCATTGAGTTTGTCCTGAAGCACTTTATAAACCCTGTTTCAACACAGGTGCTATGAGTAGCCACAGATGTACAAAATAGTCGTGGTTGAAGGCGTTGTCACAGAACATTTCTTCGTCATAGACAGAGTGGTGGAACAGGCAGAGATATTATGCAAACAGCTGATTAATGGTGTGGCTATTTCCATTCATGACTATGTCAAGAAGAATGCAATGAAACACGAAGCTGAAAGCAAAAATTGGTCAAACAACTAACTTGTCCAGCAGTAAAAGCTCATGTAAAATTAAGAATGGACGAGTGCCAGATACCTCAATTGGTTATTTCATGTAAGCAGATTCTTATAAAAAATAAACACACTACAACAAGGTTCTATATATTTTTTAATGTCAACAATGAATTGATCAGATCAGTATTTTTTCTGTGTAACCAAACCTTGAAATACAGCTTATTCCTTTGTTGTAGTGCATTGTGGTCCAAATGTGTATCGAGTGGCTGAAAGTAGTCACTAACAAATGCACTATATATTGCTGTTTAAGTATTGTTTGCTAAAAAACTACAGTTCCAAGCTGTTAGGGAAATGACTGTCTTTTTAAAAATGAAAATGAAACTAAATATTTATAACCATTTATAACCAAGGATTACTTCTTCATTTTTTTTTTTACAAATCCATTTGGGGATGTGTGCCATAAACAGGGCAAAGAGGACAGAAAGTACTGAGAAATTAACTAAATCATTGTGGGGTTTGGTATTTTCATGAGATTTTTGAACATTAAAAAGTCCCAATTCATGTTAATGCCTGTGGGAAGAGAAATCAGCACTGTGTGTATTTATGCGTCTGGTTTTTGCATACACAGATTTTTAGTATTGAACCTATATACAATTTTATGCTCCTTCAAAAAACAGAGCTAAACATGGACGGGGATGTTTTAAAGGTCTCAAATATTATACTTTTGTTTTATTTGAAGTTTTGATATCCCTAAAAAGTTATATTTGGGGGTTTAAGTACCCAAAACATCTCAATGTAGTTTTCTGAGTGACGGAATAAAATTATAGCAGGTTTCAGATAAACACTCCAAAGAAACCAAATCCTGCAAAGCTGGATGGTGGGTCCGGATAGGCCAAGCTTGGGACATGGCTGGGAGTGGTGACTGCTTTATTGTGACATCACAACTTTACAAAAGCCCCAATGGCTTGTTTTACAACACAGTTTCTGAATATGGGCTGTGTGCATTTCTCCATGGACTGAGCGCTTCGTTACTTTCACAGTATTAATATAGAACCTAGACCTATTTTATAATAAAAAAAAAGACATGGAAAACTCTATTTATACAATTTGAGACCTTTAAGAATTAACTACATCTCCATATTCCTTACTACTCAAATAAATTATGACTGGTTCAGTATTCTGCTACATAGTGCAGGACATGAATGACAAGAATGACAGCCACAGTCGCTCAAAAATATTAAGATATTCCAACATTGTTCCGTTCCACTTCCCCTGCATAGTTGAATTATTTGAGCACAGCCACAACTCTACACACAGCTTTCCTGTGATGCTTGAAGGGGCGTGTTTGAAGGTTGCTTTGGTAAGACTTTGTTTCTAACATAAGTTATTTAACTTCAAATGTTATAAATTCTCAGGAGCATGCGATGCTGAGAAGACTCACATTGGTCAAAACAACCTTCTCCTGTTCCCTGAGGGAATGAAGGGAGCAGAGGACACTGCAAGCTGAACAGGGCATGAAAGAGTTTGCTCAAAACCAAACCCAGTCAACTGGATCATTTATTTAAAAAGCAAACAAACAACAAAACAAACAAACTCAAACTGGTCAAGAAAGGGGTTGCCAAAGTCAGGGATTTTTTCTTCAGCATATGAATAAACCAGAAGTCTTAACTGTAGATTCATTTCTGCATTTTCACGCCCTAATACATGATCAGCTAAAAAGCATCTACTTTCATTTTTTGGACTGTATGTTGATCTTTCACCTCATGTCAGCAAACTCAGCGTGGGAAACAAAAAAGAATATTTATAGAGCGAAAATCATGTCAAACTAGTAATTAATTAGGCATTTTCATGTTATGTCATCTGAATAAAAAGTTAACTCTCTCTTTATGTGAGACTTTTGTACTGTACTTTTAACGTATCAGTGAGCTTCCATATACACTGCATCGGATTTGGATTGGATTTGAAGGTCACTGTTGAAAGTAAGAAGCGTGATGTATGGCACTATTCATAGTAGTAATATTTGGACACGAGAGACAATGAGGAGGATATCAAAGTAACAGACATGAGGACTTTTGGGGTTTACACAGAGATGTTAAAATAGGAATAAATCAAAAATATTCAGTCAATGTACAACATGCCCTTTGTAGCAACTACTTCCTCGACCAATACTTTTGCTCAAGGCCTGTGGTCACCTGTCTGTATTGTTATTGATCCTCAGGGTACGGTGCTAAACTCCTGGAAGGCAGTGTGGGTGGTGCTGTCAGATGATGGGATGGAATTCTATAAAAAGAAAACAGACCATTCTCCGAAAGGAATGATCCCACTAAAGGGAGCAACACTCCTCACTCCTTGCCAGGACTTTGGCAAGAGGACGGTAAGAAAATTATACCCTATACCTAAAAGTATATGTATCAGAACTAGTATTGAAGAATAATGCTGTGAAAACTCAACACAAAATTTTCAAAATAAAAATTTCTCTCAAAATTGGTTAAATTTAAATTTTCCTCATATTTAGGGGAAAATGTCAAGAGAAAACAGAAACTATAACAGTGTGACTGACTAATAATGCATTAATGCTCCATTTAGCTGGTTTTCAAGATTACGACTGACAAGAAGCAGGACCACTTCTTCCAAGCCTCACATGTGGAGGAGAGAGAGTTTTGGGTCAAGGACATCAAGAGAGCCATTATCTGTCTGCAGGGGGGGAAAAAGTTTGCTAGGAAGTCCACAAGACGCTCCATTCGCCTGCCTGACACAGTAAACCTGACGTATGTTCTGTGACACCTTTTTGGTGGTGGAAATAATAATTTGAGAAGAGCTTTTGATGGATTCATTTTATTCTAGGGATTTACCTTAGCTGAGCCCCACCCTCCTCAGGCCCACATTGTTTGTAGTGACAATAAAGGCATCAGTCCAAATTTTAAGCAATTTGTGAAACAATGTGTCTTTGATTTCAGACTGTTGATTTAGCCAGGGAAACTGTAACTGTTGCTGGCAGGTTTTATCAGCTGTAGTGAGTCAGCCAACTAAGCTAATGTTAAGTAATGTGATTTGGTTGAAAACTCAGTAGCTCATGAGTAACCAGTAAAGGGATCTTAAATATCCACTTGACGGCCAGACACATTAATTATGCTGCCTAGGTTTGCCATGCTTAGTTACAGTTGCTAAGCTGTTATTTTCACAATGGCTGTTTGGGGCAGCGTTTAAGTAAAGGGTCAATTGCTTGTGCTTACTAATAGAGTGATAGTATGGGAAGACATGTTGACAGTGTTCACATTGTGTTTTCCCAGTGAGCTGTACACACTGATGAAAGATCAGGATGATGGAGTGAAAGAGTTAAAACTGGAGCAGGACAATCGAGTCTTCAACCACTGCTTCACTGGTACTGCCATTTTGGTTTTATTGATCTTACACCTGTGGAGGACTTTTTTTTTATTTTTGAATGGTCTCACAATTTTTCACTCCTTCCCTATTTTTGCTCAGGCGCAACAGTGGTCGAGTGGCTGATTTCAAATGAGAAAGCAAGAAACAGGCCTGAGGCCCTGATGTTAGCAACAGGGCTCCTGAATGAAGGTTTTCTCCAGCCTGCAGGGGACCTGGCAAAAGATGGCGCTGAGGCTGGAGAGCAAACAGCCTTCTTAGATCAGACAAAGGCTCTTTACTACTTTGTAAGTTGATGCATGATGCATGTCAAAAAGTTACTATGTGACAAAATATTTTATGGTTATTAGAAATGGAATTTTTTGTGTTTTTTTATGTCTTTTTGCATAAATACAGAGAAAATATCAGTATTAACAAGGTTGGGGATATTCATTCATTCATTCATTCAAAAAAAAAAATAAAAATAAAATAAATATATATATATATATATATGTGTGTGTGTGTGTGTGTGTGTGTGTATGTTTGTGTGCATGGCTGTTCTTTGTGGCAGGCAGACAGTGGATTCTTCTGTGAAGGCTACTCCAGTGATGAAGATGTGCTTGTGAAGGAAGAATTCAGAGGAAACATCATAAAACAGGGGTGCTTACTTAAACAGGTGAATCAGAAAGAAAGCACAAATATCACAGTGTTTTCGTTGCACTTCCTGCTTTTACACTGTTATTTACAAGAAAAATAATAACGATGAGAAGACATTGTACTATGCTGGCACTCTTTGTAATTTGTCACACTCACTGAAAGAGGAAGTGTGCTTCACTTTTGCTTGTTTGCTGTTAAGTGGTGTTCAGCTCATCTGATGAGTTATTTCTTCACAGGGACATAGGAGAAAAAACTGGAAGGTGCGCAAGTTCATACTGCGAGATGACCCTGCGTTTATGCATTATTATGACCCCTCAAAGGTAAATTTTCTGACTTGTACAAGCTGAAACACAGAAAAGAATCACTTCCGCAGTTTCCTCTTCTCACATGTTTCGCTCCTAGTTTATTTCTTCTTTTGTCTCATTTCTCTCTTGGTGTCAGGGTGATGACCCTCTGGGCTCGATCCATCTCCGTGGGTCTGTGGTTACAGCTGTGGAGTATGTGCCTGATGGTGAGTGAGACCATTGCCTCATGAGAAATATGGCTAGTTGCATCACTACTGTGACAGACTGTGACGAGGAAATATAATTGGTGTTTACTGCCAGTAGTTTCTCTTCAAGTCATCCCTTTTAACTCCTCCTACTCATCTCTTCCTGGTTTCAGCCAAAAAATATGACATTGACGGCAACCTCTTTGAGATCATCACCTCAGATGAGGTTCACTACTTCCTCCAGGCTGCTACAGGCGAAGAAAGAAAGGAGTGGATCAAAGCAATACAGGCAGTGTCAAAAAGTGGAAAATAACAGGAGCAGCGGAGCAGCAGTGCAGTGTCTGCCAGGCACAGTTGATCCTACTGATCGTAAAAGTTTGATAGATCTGTAATTATGTTTAACAGTGTGTTAGCTAAGTGTAACTAAAACATTATCTTAATGTTGTGCTGTGTCATTCTAGATTAACTGGAATGTTTCTCCCCTCTATACACTATCAAACCATGATGTTTTTGTGAAGTATGTAACTAACTGAAGAGAAATAAAAGTTATATTGTCTACACTTAACAGTATAAAGTTTTATCACTAATGCCTAATTACATTTGTGTATAAAAATGATGTCACACTGTTGTAATGTGTGGCAATGAATTAAGTGAAAGGGCAGACACAAACCACAGAGGGCAACCCCAGGGTTGTCTACCCCAGTTCAAGACATACCTACCTAATGGCTACCTAAGAAGCACTTTTAAGAGAAAGCGGCAGGAAATACTGGAAAGAGTTGAGAAAAGGAACCCTAAACACTTAAGGGGGATGCTCTAGAAAATGCATCAGCCATAACATTTTCAGAAGCTTTAAGTTGCTGAATATCCAGCTGGAAGGACTTTAGGAACAAGCACCATCTCATCAAGTGTTGATTTTGGTTCTGTAAAGAATGTAGAAATGTGTGGGGGTTATGATCAGTATACACCACCAAATGCCTGCACCCGCTACTTATGTGTATCTCAAAGTGCTGTAATGCCCAAATCAATGAGAGTGCCTCATTATCTACAACTGAGTAGTTTAGCTGGTAGGCGTTAAACTTGCAGATGTGTCCGTGAGGGAACATCTGAACACAGGGTGGCACAGCTCATTTAATCTAGACTGTGGCAAGTATCCAAGCAATGACTCAAGTTTAACCAGGGTCTCCAGGGTTTTGGATTAGTATGGAGTTTGACTGCAGCTATAACATCCTCTTGACCAACCTGGTCATCAGGAATAGTGACAGCAACAGGCTTTGGTTCCTGACTGGGTTGTGGTGCTTTGTTTTTTGCTTCAAGTGTTGGACATTAATTTTTCCAGTAACTTTGACCCAAACAAAGGTTACAACTTCAATTTGCATCCCCTTTTCCCCACCAACCATTATCAAACACCTTGGCACAGGACTCTCCACCTCACCACCAAACTTAGCCGGGCGGCAAGTTATCCTTCCCTCTGCAGGTATTATATGCATTTATGTGTACTCATCAGCTAGATATGGGCCTCTATTACCTTTTTAACCTAATGCTAATTATGTAGTAACATGTACTGGGAGGATATCATGAGAACTAAAGAGTTAATTCCCTCAACTTTCAATGCTTTTCACTTCAGAAGCTGTCAACCATCGCCTGAAATGTATGTTCAGCTCACGGACAAGTTCAACATATGTCTGGCTCACTGACCTCCATAGCTTCCTGAACTGCTGACAATAAGCTTCAGGCACCAATTCATAAGCTTTTTGCAGTGCAGGATTAACCTTGTGATAGTCCTCACTGTCAGCTATGCTTAGTGCAGAAAATGCTTCCTGGGCTTTACCAGTGAGCAGACATTGTAAGAGCAACTTCTTTTCTAGATCAGACCACTGTCATGTTTACAGTTTAAACAACCAAAATAAGTATCCACATCCATCTCATTAAATTTTGGTAATAACCTCAAGTTGTATGTTACATCAAAAGGTAGCTGGGGAAACCCCAAGAGAAGATGGGTAAAATTTACCCTCTTCAATCAGGTCCAATCTATAACACTCCTGTTGCAATTCAAATTCATGCAACCTTGTAGTTACATTTAGCCTTTCAATCTCATTTCTTGCTACCATTGATGAATCCCGCGCTTGTTTGTCCTGTTCATTTTCCTGCTTATACTGCAGCAGAAGTAGTTTTTTTTTCTGTTCAAAGGTTCACCAAAGTAAGACAAAGGAAGATTTGACCTTCCCTGCAACAGGGGGCCAGGTGCTGTTTCCTCAATGGCCATCACATCATTTTTTTGAGCAACTAAGCGCTACTAGGGTGGGTAGAACTTTAAGCTGTCCTAACTGAGCCCTTAAAATGGTCCACATAGCATCTTTATTAATCTTTTTAGGAAGATCTAATTTATAATATTCTCATAGCTCAATACCTGGTCTTAAGTACACTCACCCAACAATTGCAATCAGGGGCACTGCACAAATTCATACAAGGTATGTCCTTTAAACAAGACCAAACCAGACAAATACTCGAACCACTAAATCTGATATCAAATGACACAACATTACCACCGTGTTACTCAAACCAGACAGACCTTATATGGCAAACAGCCATCAACCAGCCACTTAGTCATTATGCCTAAACTAGGCTACACACCAAACCTTTACCCTGGTATATCTGACAATTGTCTGTTTGAACATGTAAGGCAGGAAAGAGACTGTCATTTCAGTTTGAGGCTTATTATTTTACCCAGTGTGGTTTTCCTCTGTGTTCACTTGTCTTTCCAAAGTATGAGACAGTTTGAGCTATCATACAAGCGCACTCAGTTTCCTGAGTGTGAAGTATGTGTTAGTCTGAATCATATTCTGCCTTCACAGTTCATTGCCACTTTGTGGCTTTTAGGCCTGCATGTGTGAGAACATTTATGTTTTGTATGTAATCAGTATCAGCAACAGTATGAATGATGACTGAAGTCAAGAAAATCAAAGAAGTTCCAGTTTATGACAACTTGATGCTTAATTTCATAGGGCTGGACATCGGTTCTGTCAGTCCTAATTATATTATACTTTTACCAATAAAGTGTTTCCTCCAACAAGGCATACTGAATCACTTTGACAGCATTGTCACTTTTCTGGGGTAACAGGTACCAATGACTCACTTGCTTGCTTGCTCACAGAGCTGTTATTTTCTCACCTCCCACTCTTCTATACAGCTCATAGGGTAGATAGGTAATCCTTGATTCAAAGAAAAAAATCTGAACTAGTCAAATAAAGTAACAATACTAATGTTTGGTGGATTGGAGCCATAATGATTGCACTGACTGGTTTGGGTAGCTTCTTTACAGATTGTCTGATGTTTGTAGAAGGGTGGGTATAAGCTATATGGTTTTGACTGCTACCTTTTAACACTGAGTCATTATCTTGAAAGTGTGAATTGCACATTTCTGTTTTCAGTTTCAGTTGTTATTTATAAGAAGACCAAAGTTAAGATCGATCACTTACTGTGATGTTTCTATTTTCATGATCAAATAATTGTTATTGACAATCAGTCCCAAAACACACATTAAATTTGGCTGTCTGCATGTGTGGGTGTTTTACCATTTTAACACAGGAGGGCACTATATATCAACCTAAGACTGTTGCTGTGAGTCATAGCTAAGCAGGGTCTTGCTTTCAATGGTTGATGGTCAATTAACTATACTTGAAAAACATGGTCAAAAGTAGGTTAGACTAATCAAACTGCTTACACATTGTACACATGTATTGCTGTCAACACCCTGTGGTTCATGACCCACATATAGTCTCAGAGCATGGTTTACGTATGTCCTTCTCAATAGGAAACAAAATCAGTCATACTTCTGTGAATCATGTTTGGAAGACAGGGACTGTGCCCATTCAATAAAACACATTCAGAATATTTGTTGATCCCCTTGAAGGTCAAATAGATACAAACAGGGATGTAGAGCCCACCACACTTGGAGAAAAACACAAATAATTCAATAGAGACACCATCACAGAATGGTCACCAGCACCACCCACAGTCAGTCTTTTCTGATCAGTAAGTGATGGAGGCAGATTAAAGTGTGAGGTCTTTTAACCATTGGTTAAAAAAAAAAAAAAACTGACTCTGGAGGAGGAGAAAGCATCCCACTGCCCACGCTGTTCAACCAACACACTGTCAGCATAGATGGAGATAGTGAGCTGCTATTCCAGCAGGCACTGCAGTTCAACAACTGATACAGTAATGAATAAATGATTAACTATTGATTTCTTTTGTTAAGAAGAATACAGTGTTCTTCCTTATAATGACCACCTGATGAAAACCATATGAAAATTCAATAGTTAAATGTGTTGCATAGCCAAAAATGTACTTATGTACTGTAGGGTTGATGTTTTCACAAAATGATTTAAGAGGTTTTTAAAATCCTCTTCTCAGCTGAGAAATAAAAGAAAAAAGAAAGAGCAGAATCTATCAAACTTCCTCCACTGGAAATAAATCAACAAACAAGCAGACATACAGAAAAACAATCTTTTATCTAATCCTACTCACTCTCATGTTGATGCTTTTAAAATGCTTCTTTTTCTCTTTAGTTTTTGGCACTCTGAACACTATGCCAGCTCTATACCACCAAAAATCAGAGGGAAACAAATTTGAAAAGTAATGTTATGTGGGAGGGAAAAACTGAACACAAACATGGCTAAGTTGCCTTCTTCCATGTAGTAACAACACTAAGAAGCCAAATTTTATGACTCCTCCAGCTGTCAAGATTTTTTCTATATTTTAATTTAACTAATTGCACAATAAAGTTGTCATTTTTTTTTAACCTCTGATCTTTATGTCTCTGAAGTCACTCAGATCTAAAATAGCAAAGTGTTTTAGTGCAGCATTGACTTATCCTTGGCATGGTTTAACAGGTAGCATTTACTATGTAACTGTCAATAAAACCACAGTATTACTAAGTCGTTGTGTAACATAGATAACATAAATATGTGGCTGACAACATCTCTACTGTGTGATCGGCACTATAGTGGCATAGTGACAGTGGCAATGAACAATTCTGATGTTTTGCACCTGGTGTTCCATTCAATTGCAGGAAGATGACCACTTTTCTATTGTTTAGTGTAAAATGGAAAATGGCCTGACAAATCGCATGTGGATGGAGCCCTGTTTAGCATGTGAATGGCATTTTTAAGTTCATCAGAATTCACTTGGAGATGGAGTCAGAAACATTAGGCAGTTTTCTGGCTCAGACCTGGGTTTGGCCAAATCAATCATTTGACAGCCTTTTTCGACCAGCATGGAACAAAACATACCTCACCTTTGACTGGCGACTCCCCAAGTGGAGTCTTTTATACAAGTCTGCTCTCAAAAAACATGGTTTTAAGATTGGATCTGTTCCCTGCTGTTAGATCACAGTTCAGTTTCTGCCCAGGTAGAGTATTTCAAAGCTCTTCAGACTAAAAGCCCATCTTCAACAAATTGTTCAACAGACACAGACTATGTCTACAAGACTGGACCTGTTACCTATTAACAGCATTTAAAATTAGTATACGCTTTCTTTGTTCTAACTTCAAAAGGTTCTGATGTCTG